GGATGGGTTAGCCTGGTGATGGGTATTAAAGAGGGCACGTACTGCATGGAGCACTGGGTGTTACACACAAACAATAAATCATGGAACACTACATCAAAAACTAATGATGTAATGTGTGGTGATTAACATAACAATAAAAAACTAAAAAAAAAACTTAAAAAAGGCCTTAATTTTACAGAAATATTTATAAAATTTCAAATAACTTTTGTAAATCAATAAAGAGGTACTTTGTAAGGGAAAGAAATCTATGCAGCAAATTAAGTAAAAAAAGTACAGAATTCAAGGAAGCAATAGCTATCGTGTTTTTTTTTTTTGTATCAAATGTTTGGATAGGTAGAACTTCCATTTTAAATGAGAGTAGTTAACAGTTATTCATAATAGCCTTTCTTCAGCAGAGAGATACATGTTGTTTCTACATTATATATGGGCCATGAAAACATAATAAATAATAGGCCAGTTTTTTTTTAAATTGTAATAGTTGAGAGTTCAAGTGTTGAGAATGAGTGAGAAAAATGAAGTGGTACTATTTTTTCCCTTTCATGAAGCAGTAGTGTTTCTGTGGAACTCTGGGCCTGTGGAATGAAAAGAATACAGACATCTGACAGCCTTTATTTCAGTAATATGGGCAATGTCAGTTGTGTATACTGAATTCTAAATTTTTATAACTATCCTAAATCTAAAACTTAGAACTCTATTTATAAACATGCATGCATTCTGGGATTCTAGAAATGTAACTGCGCTAACTTACCATTTGTAAGAACTCAGGCAATTTACATTAACATGCTTATTCTCAATAGGGACCTAAGAGAAAATTATTGCCGAAATCCAGATGGAGCTGAATCACCCTGGTGTTTTACCACTGATCCAAACATCCGAGTTGGCTACTGCTCCCAAATTCCAAAATGTGATGTGTCAAGTGGACAAGGTAATGGCTGACATTTTGCAGGGTGGACATAATTAAATTCAGGGGAAATGCCTCAAGAGAGACCTACTTCTTGTTGCACTGGTTTGCTGGTTCCCAAACAAAATCACCAAGTCTGAAGTTGCATTTCTTTTATACATTCATTGGCTCAACACTCACTTATTTATTTGAGCGTATACTAGTGCCAGGCACTGTTTTAGACACTGGGGATATACTAGTAAACAAAACAAAATTCTCCGACTCCGTGGAACTCCAGAAACTCCAGCAAACAGAAAACAGGAACAAAACGAGCAAAATGGAAGTGGGAATAAGTTAGTTTGTGGTAAGTGCCAGAGAGAAAATGTCCCAGGGTTAGAGGGGAGGGTGTTGTTATTTCATATTTGAATGGTATGGGAAGATCTGACATACCAAGGGAACACTTAAGGAGCACCTGGAAGAAGCAGCGTGTGCCATGTGCATATATTTGTAAATAGCATTCGAGGTAGAGGAAACTGCAAGTGCAAATGGCATGAGAAGGCACAGTGTTTGAAAGGTAAAGGAAAGGGACAGCAAGCACACCACTGTGGCCAGTACAGAGCAAGGGGGAGAGTCACAGGGCATGTGGTTAGAGAAGAGTTGGACTAAAATCGCATATGCCTTATAGGAATTGGAAGGATTTACACTTTTATTCTGAAAGAGAAGGGATTCTGTTGTAGGGTTCCAAAAAGATAAATTAGATGATCTGTCTGGTTTAAGTTTTAACAGGATGACTCTGGGTGCATTATGGAAAACAGCCAGAACTTATGACAACTTCTGACAACTTCTCCCAAACAGGAGAATTTGTTATGCGGCTGTTTCAGTAACTCAGGAAAGAGAGGAGAGTGATGTGGACCTGGGGGGTCAGCAGTGGAGATGATGTGTAGCTGTGGGGTTTGGGTTAAATCACCATTATACTGGGAAACATATATGCCATTGAAGATCACTGTTTCAGGGAGAGCAGCAGAGAAAAGTCAGACTGAAATAGGTTAAAAAATAAATCATTTGTCAAAGATTAATGAAGATGTTGGAATCTGAGCATTTATTAGTATATAATGAATTGAAGGTTATGATTTTTAAATAATCATATTCTTTCTCATAAATTTAATTTTGATGGTCATGGTCAGTCCTAAATCATCCTAAAAAGCCCAAGCCAAATTTAAAGCTCCATTTCATAGATTTATTGTTCTATACATACTTCTTCCATCCTTTAACTTTTTCTGCAGTGCCGTTTTTCATGAGCAACTGTTAAAAGTTGTAGAGGGAAGAGGGGTTCAGTCCCTTTTCAGTCAATTTCACTGTTCTTTGGCAGATTTTAAAGGTCAGTTGGAAATAAAGTTGAAACTGATGTTTAAAGGAGGTTTAGTACCAGCTGGATCTTCTTTGTCCCTGTATTGTTCATTTAAACACGCACTGATAATTTGAGATAGAGGGAAATGAGAACAATTGTTTAATAAGCTTCTTATGTATATTAAGATGCTTTTATGTACATATATATCATTTACCAAAGAATCAGGTAACAGAGTATGAGAATTTTGGATTGTACAAGTTAAGCTGATGATATTGTTTATCTAAAAAATCTAGAAATTAATAGATGAGGAAATTAGTTTTATGAAATTTAGATAACTTGCCTAAATTCTCAAATTAGCACAGTTGGGATTGAATATAACCTTCCTTAGAATGACCTTTCCATTACTTTTAACAATATGTTATATTATTTTCAACAATATATTATACCTGATACATGCAACACATGCAACAATGTGCTAGGTTCTGTGGGGCAAGTTAAAAATGAAGAAATCCACTTAACAGACACTGTTAGCTAATCCAACATAAAACTGTGAAGTTTTAATGGTTATGCCATTGTGTGATACTGCTAAGCTAATGGTATGCATTGCTAAATATGTGATATGCATGTATGCATGCACATACATACACACAAAAGGATGTTGCTCTTATCCTTCTCCATATAACATATAAACACAAATAGACTGATGAATTAGAAACATTCTCCCTAAATCTTGCAACATCTGAATTAGCATATATGTGAATGCTCTTCCAATTAAGTATTAAACAACTCTATTAAAAAATGAAAAGTGAGATTACAGACTTCCTTTAAAAATGTTTTTAAAACAACTTGTTAAATTATATAATATATATTTAAAGCAGTAAACGGGATGCAATTCATAGCTTTAAATGGTTATATCAAGGGGCGCCTGGGTGGCTCAGTCATTAAGCGTCTGCCTTCGGCTCAGGTCATGATCCCAGGGTCCTGGGATCGAGCCCCACATTGGGCTCCCTGCTCAGTGGAGAGTCTGATTCTCTCTCCCTCTGCCTGCCTCTCTGCCTACTTGTGCTCTCTCTCTATCTCTCTGTCAAATAAATAAATAAGATCTTAAAAAAATAAATGGTTATATCAATATCATAAATAATGAAGAAAGTGAATGAAATTTCAAACTTAGAGTTGGGGAAAAAAAGTAAGCCGAAAGCAGTATAAAAAGGAAAACCACCAAGAAAAAAAGAAAGGATGAAAATATAAAATGGTAACTATCAAGGGGGAAATAACCATTGAAACAGGAAAATTAGAAGACATAAAAGACTGTTTTATATAACCTTATGTAAGAAACTTTGAAAATAAAAATGAAATGGGTAATTTACTAGGAAAATTAAAATTATCTGAATTGAGTTGGCCCTGATCAATTCAATTAGTCAAAGAATTAGACCTATTCTTATAGAAGAAATATGGGAATTTATTAATGAAAACTGTTCCATCAACAATATACCGTGCCTAGATGTGTTCACAGACCACTTAATCTCAGTGTGGCTAGATGTGCTCACACACACTTAATCTCAATGCTACATATATCGCTATGTAGCTCAACAAATACAGTAAAACTCCCATCAGTAGTGATGACATTATAATATTAATACCTAAACATGATGAAGATAACACAGGAAAAAAACAGTAAACTTATCTCATTTGTGAATATAAAAATTTTAAATGAAAGGAGTGAAAAATCCGATAAAGCAACTTAAAAAATAACACATAATGATTGAATGGAGTTTAGTCTGAGAACAAAAATGATTCAGTTTTAGAAACCCATTAAAATAATTCTTCTTAGAAAAACAATCATATAATAAATGTCAACAAATTTTGAAATTCCTGTTACAAAATTCACTCCTTTCTCATAAAAGTACCCAAATAAGAATTTCTGGAATACACACACTATACACACATACCCATATATCTATATCTATCTATATATAAACAGAGAGAGAGACTACCTTAACATATATATTCACATTTTAACATATACACATATAGACACATAGACATGCCCACATACAAAAAAGCATTTATCCATTATACCTGATGGGGAAACATTACAGACGTTCTTAGGAAGTTAAAAAAGAAAACAAGAAAATATACTATCTTTACTCTTTAACATTGTAAAATATAGGTTAACATAGGTTAACATATTCCTCTTTAACACTGTATTGGAGATATTATTCCTTATAAATAAGAAAGCATATTGATTGGGTAAAAAAGCAAAAGATCTTTATGCAAATTATGTAATAGTAATATACTTTGAAAATTGAATTCAAGTAATAAAAAAATTCACTAGAGTAACATTCATATATGAGTTTGTAGATTTAATTAAGGAGAAAACAATATCTATAATAGCAACAAAAGTGATGGAAACAGGAATAAATTTAGAAAGAAATGTGCAAAATTTATATAATAACATTTTAAAATCACCACTGAAAGCCACAAAGTGTACTTTAATGGGACAAAGCATCCCTTGTTTTTGATATTAGAACTCAACATCATAAATACATCAATTCTACCTTATTTATTTATTTATTTATTTATTTATTTATTTTTAGAGAGAGAGAGAGAGAGCGCGCGCTAGCAGGGGAAGGGCAGAGGAATAAGGAGAGAGAGAATCTTAAGCAGGCCCCATGCTTAGCATGGAGCCTGACATGGAGCTCGATCTCAAATCCTGAGATCATGACCTGAGCCAAAATCAAGAGTTGGACGCTTAATGGACTGAGCCATCTAGGCACTCCTACTTAAGTTAATTTATAAATGTAATGTGATATTAAGAAATAGATCCATAAGTCTTTTTTTGATACAAAAAACCTCACTCTGTAGTTCTCTTGGAAGAATAAACACGTAAGTATATTATGTAAAATCTTGAAAAATAAGGGTGATTAGAGGTAATTAACCTTATCAGATATTAAAACATTTTATAAAGAGCTTGTAATTAAGATTTTAGTTCTAGTGCAATGAATAAATTATCAATTGGAAAAAACACAGAGGGCAGAAACAGACTCCTCACAGAGATTTATTTTATTAAAAATGTAGCACTATGTATCACTGGATGAAAAATGAACTTTTAAAGTATAATAATGGATAAAATTATAAATGATAAAATTAAATCCATGCCTTATACCATACCCCAAAATAAACTTCAAATGTATAAGAGATCTGAATTTAAAAAAGAGAACCATATAGATACTAGAAGTAAAATTGGAAGAATCCCTTTTTAACTTAGATATGGGGAAAAGCTTTTTAATTAACACTCAAAATCTAGAGGAAGCAAAAGAAAAAAAAAACTATAAACTACATTACAAACCTACTGAGGCAAACGCTCCTGTACACCTATACACTATATATATATATATATACATATACACATATATATTCATTCATTTATTTTTATTTTATTTAATTATTATTACTTTTTTAGAGAGAGAAATAAAACATGAGAGATAGAGCAGGAGCAGGGTGGGGGGAGGAGCAGAGGGAGAGGGAGACAGAGAATCTTAAATAGGGTCCATGCCCAGTGCAGAGCCCAACATGCGGCTTTATCTCATGACCCTGAGATCATGACCTGAGCCAAAATCAAGAGTCAGATGCTTAACCAACTGAGCCACCCAGGTGCCCCCCAAACCCATATTTAAATAAAAAGACTAATGACAAATTTGGGTCTAAGTATTGAAACGCATATTACAGATAAAGAGAAAATATTTTTAATATATAAAAATTCTGAAACTAAAAACTAAAGGACCAAAAAACTTAAGTAATTAACAAAATACGTTGAGATTTCTAAAAAAATAGTATGTATATATAAATTCCCTTCAAACACATAGAAATTATGCTTAAATTCACATGTAACAAAAGCACCCTTGACACCTATTTCTTATCTTCTTACTTTTCATCATTAAAATAAACAAAGGCCCCTTGGAGAAATTGATGATTCCAGGAGGCCTGGGACAAGAAAAGAACAAGGTGAGGCTGGAATATCTTTCACCAGTAAGTTAAGAAGTGCTAAAAAACTCATGTTTTCCTCTCAAAAACCTATAACCCATATCTAATCATGAGGAAAACATCAGACAAACCCAACTGATGGACATTTAAAAAAAAAAAAAATACTTGACCGGGGGTGCCTGGTGGCTCAGTTGGTTAAACATCCCACTCTTGATTTCGTCTCAGGTCATGATCTCAGGGTCATGGGATAGTGGGATCCAGCCCTGTGTCAGGTTCTGTGTTCTTTGGGGGAGTCTGCTTGAGATTCTCTCCCTCCCTCTGCCCCTCCCTCCTTAAATAAATCAATCTTTAAAAAAATGCTCAAAAAAATACTTGACCAATTTTCCTCAAAACTGATGTCATCAAATAAGAAAGTCTAAAAACTGTCACATTTAGAAGAGCCTAAGGAAATATAACAACTAAAGATAATGTGGCATCATGTGGAATCCTAGAATACAAAAAGGGTATTAGGTTAACAACTAAAGATATTTCTGAGACCATGAAGACCAAAATATGGTCTTCAGTTAATAATGCATCAGAATGGCTCAATAGTTATGACAAATCTATCATACTAATCTGATATTAAAAGTAGGGAAAACTGTGTGGTATATGAGAACTCTCTGTACCAACTTACAACTTTCCTATAAATTAAATCTATTCTAAAATAAAAAGTTTACTAAGAAGGAAAGAAAATATATCATAGCCTTTATTCAAATAAAAGGGTAGTGGTGGTGAGGAGGATCTCTTCCTCCAATACAGAAAACATATATGCAAAAAAACCAAAAATGTATAAAAAAGTAGCACTAGTGTACTGCATCACACAATTGCTTTCTTTAAGTAAGAATCTATCTAAAGAATTTACTACCTAACAGCTAAAGATTTAAACTTTCCTAATATAGAAACAAAAAACACACCATCAGAGCAAAATGTTTTCATTGGTATATTTTGTTTATGTACAAGTATTGGATTTTACAAGTTTTTGCTTTCTGAAAGCAATTTTATTGTGCACTGGAATGACTGCTATGTTATCTGTATCAAATCCTATCTTATTTGTGTTTTTATATTTAAGCCCAAATTCCTTATAGTGTTATTACGAAATGTGATCCATGGATTTGAAAACATGACTGTTGAATATACTTTTTCACTATGTTAACTGATTCTTGAACAAATTATTAAATTATTTATTTAAAATTTTTATTAGGACTTGTACGTATTTATTATGATTACAAAGCATATTTATTCATTTTTAAAAAAGATTTTATTTATTTATTTGACAGAGAGAGACACAGCGAGAGAGGGAACACAAGCAGGGGGAGTGGGAGAGGGAGAAGCAGGCTTCCCGCTGAGCAGGGAGCCCGATGTGGGGCTCGATCCCAGGACCCTGGGATCATGACCTGAGCCGAAGGCAGACGCTTAACCCACTGAGTCACCCAGGCGCGCGGCTTACCAAGTTGAAAACAGAAATAATCTTGATGTATATTTGTAAATAACATTTTACAAGTCTACAGTTCTCAGTCATATAAAAATCAGGAATGTTTAATGGATCATCACTTTTAAAATATGTGTTATTATTTTAAAATATGGAATAGTGTTTCTTTTCAAATGTAGAACTGCAGCTCACATGTTTGGAAGAACTTGACTTCTTTTTTATGATATTTTAAAATTAGGAATATGGACCCTCCTATCAGTGTTTAGTAAAACAGATTACTCCTCTGGGGAAGAAAAATGAAAAATAAAACCATATGGGACACAGTAAAAGGCGCAGAAGCCAGTTTAAAGTGGCTTCCATCAGCTAACTTTGGAACAGTTTTGAGTATCAAAATGAGCAACAGGAGTAGATTATATATAATGCTGAGTAAAAGGAGGACAGAAGAGTGTGCAGAGCCCCACTTCTACTACAGGCAATAGTATGACTAGTAGGAGTAGCCGTGGCAGCAGCAGTACCAGTGGTAGTAACAGAATACTTACGTGGGAGGAGTGGGGGAGAAGAAAACAATGATAATAAATAAAGAAATGTAGGAAATTGAAGAACAACTATTTTAAAACCAGCCTAGTAATGACTAATTCATGCAAAGGTAATCAAAGTATGCTTAAGCCATTTTCTGAAAATTTATTTGGAAATAAGATAGTCTCAGGGGCCCCAACAATCTTCCTTCGTATCACTTAACCAAGTTATCAAACTCACCACCGATAATGGAACAAACTGACATCATATGTTACAAGAGAAAATGCTCTGAAAAGGACAAAATGCCATCTATGTCGTAACCCCGTCTTTAGCTTGCTTTTAATCATGAGAAAATAATCAGACAAAATGGAATTAAAGAGCATTTGCAAAACAGCTGGCTTGGGTGACTCAGAATGTTAATCTCGTGAAAGATGAAAATCAGAACACAACAAATGCGATGAGTATATGAGTATTCATTATATCATTCTTGTAACTTTTCTGTGGAGCTTACTTTTTCTGAAGAAAATGCTGGGAAATATATATGTCATTCTAAAAATTCTCATTTCTTTGGTATCCCTAAGGGCCACTCATGTAACTTTTTTCTTTGATTTTTTTTTTCAATTTGTAATGAGACACATAAATCCTATTTTAAGGAAGAAGAAATTTGGCTGAAAATAAAGATACTTTAACTTGAAATTTTTGAGTATCTTTGATTTGTACAGAGTGTGTTGTCAACTTCTACGTTGACTTTCATGAATTTGCATACTTGTAAAAATGTTTTTGTTCTATACTTCCCTGTATTCATTAGTCCTCTTTCATATATTTTATGTTTAGATTGTTATCGTGGGAATGGCAAAAATTATATGGGCAGTTTATCCAAAACCCGATCTGGACTAACATGTTCAATGTGGGAGAAGAACATGGAAGACTTGCACAGGTGTGTAAATATCTTTCTTTCAATACATAATATGTAGTGATAATAGCAGATATTATATTCAGATATGCACACTGCTATTTCTATTCTTATGTATTATAGTAAGCTGATAAAAACATTAGATTTATTATTCTGTGCAACTCAATTTAGTGTATTCTCTTCATGTAACAACCTTTTTTCTTTTTAAAGATTTATTTATATATGAAGGAGAGAGAGAGAGAGAGAGAGCGAGCGGGGAGGGGGGAGGGTCAGAGGGAGAGAGAAAATCCTAAAGCAGACTCCCCACTGGGAGCCTGACCTGGAGATCATGACCTGAGCCGAAATCAAGAGTCAGCTGCTTAACAGACTGAGCCACCCAGGAGCCCCCAAACTTAAATAAGCAATTCAATCTAGCACATTTTTATTGAATATTTACTATGTGTTCTGTTCTGTGATAGGTTCCCATGGGAGACATTAATAAAAAAATGGGCATACATTTTGGCTTCACCTTCAAGGATGATATGGTCATATTGAGAAAACAACTGTATAACTTGATAAGACAGTGCATAATTAAGTGGCAAATCTAGTGTTTCAAATAGTGCATTATATGATTGTGTTCTCATAATAATTATTAATTGTTAGCATCAGTTCATGAAAAATCAGTAAGTTACCATTTTCATGTACATACATACCTTAAATATCCACTTAACTATTAAAAACTTACAGAAACAGGTTTCCTGGTATAGCTTTATTTTGACACATTAAATTTTTCTACAACTAAAGGATGGTATAATATGTATTTGAAAAAAACCTATATATTTCAGAGGATTAGAGATTTCGACACTGGACATATTCACAGAAAAATATGTCTGCCACTGTCTGTCATTCCACCCTAGCAATAGTGCTAGTATGTTTTAAATTACTAAAGAAGTCTGAGACATACTTGTGACATAAAACTGATTTTTACCAAAATCCCAGAATAGCATATGCAGTAGAATAGAAGGAAAAGTGTTAGTATCATTTGATCAAGTACTTATGCCGTGGTTGCTTTCCGTGAGTTATTATCTTATTTGGCCATCACAATCTATGTGGAAGATATTTCTGTATGTGTGAATAAGAATTTAGGGGCACCTGGGTGGCTTAGTCGTTAACCATCTGCCTTCGGCTCGGGTCATGGTCCCAGGGTCCCATGGTCCTGGGATGGAGCCCCGCATCAGGCTCCTTGCTCAGCGGGGAGACTGCCTCTCCGTCTCGCACTCCTCCTGCTTGTGTTCCCTCTCTCGCTGTGTCTCTCTCTCTCTGTTAAATAAATAAATAAAATCTTAAAAAAAAAAAGAATTTAAGGGCTCTGAGAGATTGAGTTATTTTGCCTCTAGTCCTACTTTAATTCTCTTCCAAAATGCACTTACTAGTGGATGATATGGTTTCAATTAATTTACTTCACAAACAAATAATGAGAGTTCTAAAGCAGTGCTCTCCAACATAAATATGCATTTCACATATGTAAGTTGCACGTGTACTTTTGTTTCCTAATAGACACATTTAAAGAAGTAAAGATAAACAGGCAAGACTATTTTAAATAATATTTCTTATTAATCCAATGTATCTAAAGCCTTTTCATTTCAATATGTATTCAATATAAAAAATTGTTAATGAGATCTTTTACATTTTTTCATATTAAAGCTTCAAGATCTGCTTGAATTAGAGCACCTATTTGGGCTAGCCACATACCAATTCTTCAGTAGCCACATGTGGTGGCTAGTAGCTACTGTATTGGAAACTGCAGCTCTAGGATTTCAAAGATAAGCAGAATTCTAACCTCATGGATCTCACACTCTAGAATGCCAGCCAACAGCAAATGCCAATACCATATTATAAAAATCATGAAAAATAGCATATTTTATGCTATGAGAGTGCAAAGAAGTATCCAGATTTAGATGGTCAGGAAGTCTTCCTAGAGAAAGGGAAATTAATTGGAGGATATATGTTAAGTAGAAGCTGGTCAAAGGAAGTGTAGGAAGAGAGTACATCAGGCAGAAAGAATAGCTTGTCCCAAAGCCCACAGACTGAAGTGTTTGAAAATCAGAAATAATTTTGGTAAGGTTGATAGTGTAATTTGGTTAATGTCCACAGAAAAGGAACTCTCCAGTAGCAAGACCATATAGGGCCTTGTAAGCTGTGTTTAGAACTTTGGATTTTTTCCTAAGCATTAAGATTCATTACAGAATTTTAAATGAGAATCAGCATGATTAAGATTAAATGCTAATTTCAACACTGCTATTTGGTGGATCTAGCTCTTACGGACTTGTGAGAGACAACTGTACCAATCCGGCCTTCAGAAATCTCTGAAGATTTGGACATTGAAAAGTTGATATTTTTTATGGTAGAAGAATTTACACCTCAGAAATTGGCAAGGACAACAAATAAAGACTTCCTACACATCTCAGAGTGCCCTTTTAAACATTACCAACATATCACTGGAAATGTATGACATATTTATTTAGGGAACTCATGGTTATAACCCTTAATTCACTGAGTTTGGGTTGGACATTAGGAAATAGTTAAAAGTCATTTGAAAACAATTTGTGTAAATTGATGAATGGTAAAGTTTCATGGTACCATTTTGGTTTAAGAATAAGCTGCAGTTGGGTAAAGACATAGTACAGAATGGTGGTTTTGAACATTGACTCTGGAAAGAGCCATTTGTTCAAACCTCTGCTCTGCTGCCTATAAGGCATGTGACCTCAGAAAAATTGTTTTCTGTGGATTTCTATTTGTCAAATATAAAATAGAATAATCTTAGAACCAGTCTCATTAGGTTGGTCTAAGGTTATATATGTAAATCACATAAAATAGAATCTGGCACATAGTAAGTACTATTTGTGTTTACTGTTATTATTGGTCCAGAAAATGAACCTGAGTTTGGAAAGATAGTTCAACCTTACCTGGCCAAGCTCTTTCCAGGTTTTAAATGACCCATTAGTTACATTCAAACATGGTAGTAATTAATAATCCAAAACAAATTCAATTACTTGTATAGTTTTCATGACTTGGTCAGGATGGCCATTTGGAATTTGGCTTTATTAATCTTATCAAAATAAATATAAATACTGATGCTTTATGACTGGGCAAGGTCTAATAAAATGACAGAGTATTTTTGCTTTTCTTTTGTAATAAACTTAGTTAAGATGTAAAATGAGAAAGTGTTACTCAGTTATCTTTCAAAAACTCATATATTGTAAGTATATAGTCACTGAAAGTTTAGATTTTAATTATTTCATTAGCACACTATTTTTAATTTTTCAGAGTATCTTTCTGTCCTTTGTCATAATGATGTTGCTAGTGATGCTTTTTATGTTTCTGAAACATGAAAAATACTTTTGCAATAGCTTGCTTTTTCTATGTATTTTATAACCTTGATCTTCTTTGTCATCTGCTCTTTTTCTGGCAGTGTTTCTCCATTTCTATGCATAGGGGTGTTGGTGGTCACCTTGCCACTGTAATTATTAAAGAGAAGCAAAGTCACAAAATTTTTCATCATTTTATCTATGCTAATTATGTAGTCCTATTCCATAATCCTGAGTAGAGAACATGTTTCCAAACTGCAAGAACAGCAACAAAATAAGTCTAAAAGAAAATAACCAAAATTCACACCAAATAGAAGCTTGCACTCTATCTATAATGAAAATTACATGTTAGGATTTTTTCTTCTTGGTGACAGTTTGTTTCTGTTGGAGGAAATGAGCATCTTGTGATGTTTAGAGTTTGTTGTTTATGCAGGCATATCTTCTGGGAGCCAGATGCTAGTAAGCTGAATAAGAATTACTGCCGGAATCCTGATGATGATGCCCATGGTCCCTGGTGTTACACGGGAAATCCTCTCATTCCATGGGATTATTGTCCTATTTCTCGTTGTAAGTACTTTTAATGATCTTCTTCAGGTGAAATATTTTAAATACGCTGAAAATCCTTTAAATTGATACCTCAATCAGAGGTGGAAATATAGGAGGGTTGGAGTCAATCCTAAAGTAGGGATGCATTCCAGACAGCAACACACACACACACCCCTTTCTTCATCTCTCCTGTAGACAAGGAGACATTCTACTGACCTTTTAAAGAAGATTTTCCTCCTCAGAAGATCCTCATTTGAAATCCAAAAGCAATAAATGGCCATTATTGTAATATGACTACACCAGAAAAGACCCCTCTCCCAATACTAACTGTTCAAGCTGTGAATATAGCAGAGCTCTAACAAAGCCCCCGCCCAGTAACAGACACGTGGACAGACCTGAGATAGTGTTGCTTTCACTTCTTCTCAGTGCATTAGCCAAAGACTAAAAAGCTTAGAGTATTCCATCCACATCTCTGAGTCAAAGATGATTTCTTTTAAAGATGATTTTTAAAAGAGTATCAGTATGTAAAGTAAAAGATATATGTAAAATATATATGTCTGATATACCACATATAAAAGAGCTCCTATATATTAGTAAGAAAAAATGAGATAATTTAGGAGAAAAATGAAGAAAATGAATCTTCAAGAGTAAGTATAATAAATAAATAAATACATTAAAGCTTAATAGTAAGAAAAAATCAAATTGTATAAACATAAGATCATTTCCACCAATCAGGTTGGCAAATAAAAAGTAATTGTTAATGTCAATATTAGTGAAGGTCGGGTAGTCAGAGTCTTTCAATACTGTGCTACGTTATGAATTGGAAAGCTTGTCTGAAAGTCAGTTTGGAGAAATGTCTCAGGACTTTTCAACTTCGGCACTACTGACATTTTGTACTGCATAAATCTTTGGTGTAGGAAGCTGTCCTGTGCCCTATAAAATGTTTGGTGGTGTTTCTCGCCTCTACCCACTATATGTCAATAAAACCACCCCTTCCTCCAGTCATGAGAACCAAAAACTATCTCTAGACATTGCCAAAAGTCCCCTGGGGAACAAAGTTATCCCCACTGAGTACCACTGAGTAATATATATTGAGATGGAAGTATATCCTCCATATACTATTGAGTGAAAAAGGCTTATTATAAAGCTGAGTCAGTAGCAAAAGACTATTTTACTAGACTACCTATCTTATAGCTCTGTGTTTATAACAAACATCTTTAAATTATATTAAGCTATCTCCTGTTTAAAAAGGACATATTTGTATAAGTTCAGTAAGAGTCTATTTTAAGAATGTTTCTCCTGGTGTGTGGGGAGGATGAGTGAAATAGGTGATGGGGATTAAAGAGTACACTTATCTTGATGAGCACTGAGTAATGTATACAACTGTTGAATCACTGTATTGTACACCTGAAACTAATATAACACTGTATGTTAACTATACTGGAGTTAAAATTGTAAAAACTCAATAAAATCAAAAAAGAATGTTTTTTGTGTGAGAAAAGCTAGTAGCAAGTACCTTGAACAAAAGTACCCATTTTAAAAAGATTAGATTGAAGAAATGATGTTTGCTTTAAAACATGAAATACAAACACATAATTTTTATGGCAAATTAAAAAGATAATTTCTTGCCTTAAATGGAAACGCTAGTCATGTTTCATGAAGTTTTAGCATAAAAAGGCAAACTTCTTAAATATGATTTTCATCTAGTATGGCTATAATTAAGACTTGGAACTTCCCAACCTATTTTTAGGAAATAAATTATCCATAATGGTAAATAAACACCTTATAGGTTTGCAAAGAAATAGCATATCATATCATTATATTTTATTTCATCAGCTGTAATCATAGCCTTTCAAATTAATTCGGGTGTTCCTAATTTTCTATTTTTTTCATATTAGGGTCTGCCTGGGTCCTGAAAATGTTCCTCTTTAGAAGATGTCTTTCTAGTTTTAACACTACAAAGCAAAGAAATCTACCTCTCTGGGACATACATCTTTTTAATGATTAAGGATTATTTTTTATAAATATTAGCTTTACCTGATAGTACCTTTTTGTGAAGTCTCTATGATTAAGAATAATGGAGGCTAATAAAATATCCAGTGGTCTAGGAAGAAGGAAAGAAGTCAGGCTTCTAAGACAGTTCTACTGCACGTAGACACAGTTAAGAGTAAAATGCTCCTGTAGAATCTCAGGGAACTGTGATTTGGTTTATAAACCTGACAAAGGACTCTAATAATTTAAATGTTTTCTAAACATATTTTCAACTAACATTTTAAAACTAAAAGTTAGTAATGTGCTATCGGAAGACTTCAGAGTGTCGCTAGTATTTGATTAAATGCTATTGCAGATAACTCATTTTTATTTCAATATATTTGGAACATTAATATCAATAAATATTTTTATACTGTCATTTTTCTAACTAATATTTATAGCCAGGATTTATTTACATTTTCCTGCTGGTGAAAGGCTAATAAAATTTATCTTTAGAGGATTTGAGTTCTTATTTACTTAACTGCAGAGACTGTATAAATCATTTTCACACTGTACATTTGTATTACAAATCATACAAAAGTTTTTATTTCTTTTTAAAAAATGCTTAGAGTATTAGCACACATTTAAAAATTATCAGATATGTAAAAATAAAATTATAGAAGTGCCTATATATTAATCTATACACATACACACTTTGTAGATCTTAGAAAAATCTTCAGTATTAAGTATTTAGAGTGTAGTGGTTAAGAGCTTCAACTCCAACTTCCAGGTTAAGAATTTCAGTTCTCTCACTGTAAGTGCCTTGGACAACTTAACTTCTATCTCAGTTTGTATTGTTTATTCATTTATTAATAATTTTAAATTGAGTTGCTATGGTGTGCAAAGCCCTATATTAGAACATGCTAAGTATACAGCAATGTAAACAATATTTTTTTTCTTTCGGTTAGTTCTCAGTGTAGAGACATTTATGTAACTATAATAATTTAACAAATATATATTCATATTAAATTACATAATGAAAATGGGAACATTTCATATTAGGGTCTGCCTGGGTCCTGAAAATGTTCCTCTTTAGAAGATGTCTTTCTAGTTTTAACACTACAAAGCAAAGAAATCTACCTCTCTGGGACATACATCTTTTTAATGATTAAGGATTATTTTTTATAAATATTAGCTTTACCTGATAGTACCTTTTTGTGAAGTCTCTATGATTAAGAATAATGGAGGCTAATAAAATATCCAGTGGTCTAGGAAGAAGGAAAGAAGTCAGGCTTCTAAGACAGTTCTACTGCACGTAGACACAGTTAAGAGTAAAATGCTCCTGTAGAATCTCAGGGAACTGAGATTGTTTTTTTTTTTATTCTTATGTTAATCCCTATACATCATAAGGTTTTGAATTTGGTTGAAACTTTAAGAATACATTAAAGAAAGTTTTTTCAGTAAGAACTCATATTTGGTTCTGAGGCCATATAAACAACCCCCACACACATATTTACCTACTCTTCCATAGGTAAAACTTTTATTATTGACATGTTTCCCTTCAAATTTAAGTTGAATCAATACTGAAGATTTGTATCATATATAAATTTCAGATTTTAGTACTGTGGTGGAACAAAAAGAAGTAAGAATAGCATTTGATGGTAAAATGGTCAGGTCCTAGAGTGCAGTTTCTCCAAGTTGGGCTCAAAGTGTGCAACAGAAGAAACTAGAATGCTTTTTAAAAACTCATAATCTAGCCACCAACTCAGAATCTCTAGAAATCTGATTTTAAGTGATATTTCAGCTTATTCTAAAGTTTGAGAAATATTGGTTTAAAGGAAAAATAAGTATAAAATAACTATAAATTATTAAGGCCCAAATAAACAGTATCTATATTTCTTAAATTTAAATACTGCAGTAAATTACAATAATGAACTATTTTGTTGACCTATTAACTTGATGTTTAGAAATTGAAAACTTGAAATACAATTAAGGATAGAGAGGTCTAGTCTTTTTCATCACAATACCAGAAGGAATAAATACCTAGTTTTTAATTTTAGAATTTTCAAGTAATTGATTTCAGTGGAAAAACCAATATCCTTGATGTTTTAATGACCACAGTTGGCCTCAATCCTAATTTGTACTATGAGTTAAAACACTGACCTCAGCTGACTCTAAAACAAAACCCTCCCCCAGGCTAAGCTAAAGGGAAAGGGAAATAATGAAATTTATATGTTTGCCTTTACCCTTATTCATTTAAAATATCTAGATCTGGAAAATGAACATAAATAAAAACCCTTTAGCATATATTAATTCTCATGAGGTCCTCCATAAAAAACAATCAAATTTGCATGTATTACAAAGGAATCCATATGCCATTATTGTTTTGTTGCCGGTTTATTTGAGCTCAGCGCATTTCCAGGGATTAACAACCACCTGGGTCTAAACAGTGCCTGACTAAACTCTATGCCATCAATTCTGAATAGTCAGACATTAAACTTCAGGAAATGTCCTATGCCTCATTCATTATTGCCTAAGTATTTTTAAATCCTAGCATCTTCCAAGCTTTTCTCTTTGCAGCCATTAAACCCCAGTAGGGAAGTTATGAAAAGTGTAAGTTATGAGGTTTTAGTTAGAATTAACTAGCAGTTCCCAGTTCTCTTTTTTCTATACTTTTTTTTATGAGTGTGGAAAAAAACAATATTTGAAATATTCTAACAAAACATAATTATATTTTGTTATCCCTCTTTTTCCTTAGTGACACTGATTTCTATCTACTAGAATTCTTGAAGAGTTTTCTGAAACATGTGATGTTTCAGTTATCCTCAACCATATTAAAAAGTAAAAGTGATTTTCAGAAAAAATACAAAGCACCCAAATTAGAGTAAAAAACAGTCTATCTATACGAATGGCCCATGCAAACTATAATAAGCATTAGTGCTATTCAATGGATTGTTCATTGCCATGTTAGGCATCTTGGCAGAATGATACAGCTTCTTGAGGTCAGCAGTGTAGTCCATACTGCCAACACACTCATCAAATCACACACCTGGGAGCCTCCAGAGTCATAAAATAGGGCTTTCCTCACTTTATCCACTACCAGGAGGCATGTATCTTCATTACTGCCCAGTAAGAGTGATATGTAATTACTAAAAGCATACTATTACGTTTTTTTTTTTTAAAGATTTATTTATTCATTTGAGAGAGCGAGAATGAGAGAGAGTACATGAGAGGGGGCAGGGTCAGAGGGAGAAGCAGGCTCCTCGCCGAGCAGGGAGCCCGATGCGGGACTCGATCCTGGGACTCCAGGATCATGACCTGAGCCGAAGGCAGTCGCTCAACCAACTGAGCCACCCAGGTGCCCATTACGTTTTATCTTTAAATAAAATGTCACGAATTTTAGTGAGTTATCCAATTCATGGGCATTTGCATTTCAATATATAGCTTTGGTTCTACATAACAGAAATATGTATGTATGAATTGTGTAAAAATAATATATATATTATTTTTACAGGTGAAGGTGATACCACACCTACAATAGTCAATTTAGACCGTAAGTAATCTTTTAAAATATATAATATATTTGACTCTCTACATGTCAGAAATGATGTCATCATTTTCTTCATGGAAAAATATCACTATATTAACTTCTATCATAAAAATACTATGTTGGTAATCTGTTTCAAAATGGCTCTATATTCTTATCATAAAAATTCAGACATAATAAAAAACATAGTTTTTTTATTAAGGTTATTGATTTCCATTGACATTTAGAAATAACTACTATAAATAACATCGTTTCATTTTATATTGAAATACCTTGAGTTGATTCATTTTTCTATGTTACTTGTCTCCTTAGATGAGTATAGCAAACATTTTAGACCTGATTTGACACTGCAGTCTTAATACTTACCTTCTTTACCCCCAAATGTTTTTCTGACAAAATTACAGTAGTTACATTTTACATTACATTTACAATTCTTTAATTATCATTGTTTTAAGAAAACTGAGAGGCATTGATTATTTCAAAATGTTTTGTCAAAATGTTATTTATCTTTGGTCCTCTTTTTAGATCCTGTAATATCTTGTGCCAAAACAAAACAATTACGAGTTGTAAATGGAATTCCAACGCGAACTAATGTAGGATGGATGGTTAGTTTGAAATACAGGTAATTATTAATAGACACAAATAGAATGTATTTGAATTATTTGCAAAAGTCATATTGCCAACAGGATGGTTGTGCCATCCACACAGGCCCCCATTTGAGCGGGACACAAGAGGAGACTGACCATATTCTGCTTGCCAAATAGCCCTGTATTTTACAATTTGTGCCTTCAGAGATAATGCCTTTTTAAATGTTCATGGAGGTCCCAAAGGTGTTGGCACTGTCTCTGATTACAAGTGACACTTCAGAGTGATTGAGAAAACACAACTACATAGAGAACCTACTTATACCTTGATATCACTGTAGTAGTTGTAACACACATGTAATTATTTTCCTAATCTAGGATATTATGACTTTATTTTTTAACATGCCTACGCATAATCATATCAGAAACTTTATGTCTGCTTTTAATTTCTAAATTTTGTCATTGTAATTCTAATGAAAATAACAATAATTATAAGTTCTAGAATATTTTATCATTAAAAAAAGATTAACAGGGGCGCCTGGGTGGCTCAGTCGTTAAGCGTCTGCCTTCGGCTCAGGTCATGATCCCAGGGTCCTGGGATCGAGCCCCGCGTCGGGCTCCCTGCTCTGCGGGAAGCCTGCTTCTCCCTCTCCCACTCCCCCTGCTTGTGTTCCCTCTCTCGCTGTGTCTCTCTCTGTCAAATAAATAAATAAAAATCTTTAAAAAAAAAAAAGATTAACAAATTATATTGATAAGTTGACTAGTCTTGCTATTATACTATTCAGTATGGATAAAAAAAATTCTTGACATGTCTATTTTTCAATGCTCTTAAGGATCAAAGATAGGTTCTCAGTAAAATCACTGTGCACAATATACTCATAAAAAACTAAGATTAGTAATTATGTTGGAAGAGTTAAATATTGAAAATAGGAGTTAACTTAAAATCTGATCTTACAACTTCCTATATACTACATATATTATGTCATATGGTAATCAGAATGTTAAAGTATCTTTGTATCTATCTCTATTGGAACCTCATCATACAACCTACCCCAAAATGCACCTGAATTCTAGCCACATTTTCCCTTGTTTTTAAGACATCCCATGTTTCTCCCTCCAAATGTTTAAGCTCTTGTTCCCACTAAATGTTGTAGCTTTCTTCCTCCATATTCTGTGCCTGGAAAATCCTTCTCATTCTTCGAATACTAACTCAAATATCTCCTCTTTTTGGAGACCCTTTTTGTTCCTTTACCTCTAACTTCCTAGAGTAGAGGAAGAAAGTACATCTTTTGCTACAGTTAAATCACAGTGACATTAAAATAGAATAAACACAACTTGAAACCAAAGTTCTTTTATGAATAAGCCAATTTCTTAGGAAGCATGGAGTTTATATCCTTTGATATAAATATACATAAAACTTCAGATACCAAGTAGAAGATGGCCTAAAGTTCTTTTAATATATCCTTCTTGCAAGGAGTAACCCTCAAAATTTACAAATATTTATGTTACAAATTAGTGTAGCTGTCCTAGATGTGTAGTACTGAAACAGAGTTGTGAAACTCACCAGAATATTACAGCCAATTATGAAATATAAAAGATTTAATAAAGGCTGCCAATTTTGGGGTAAGAGTGATTCATTTCCTTCATGAAAGAAAATGTTTCAGGAATCCACATATCCGAATGAATTAGTGATTCTTTGCAAATCTCATAACTCCAGGGAAAAAAAGGGGCATATACTTCTAAATTTATTATTATCCATGGGATAATGTATAAGAATACTCCTTTGGAAGTCTCCATCCTTAGAGAAGCAGGTGAAACTCTTTTTCATCAGATTAGAGTAGTATAAACTTTTAGATAAATATATTTTTCTTTTAAATCCAAGTCCTCAGTAAAAACAGCTGTTGAGTTATTCTTCCAAAACACATACTGAGAGGAACAGAAATTAAAACTCAGTATATACTCTCATCTTCCTCTGTGGTACAGGCCATAAATAATTGTGGTCTTAGTCTGGGAACCTTCTTCTATTACCCTCTGAAGCACTGAACATCTGTATTCTTTGGAAATGTAAATTGTGAAAAGTTGTGCTTTTTCCATTTCTCTGCCAAAAAAATAATGCATCTACAGATTTAGGATATCATCAAATAAATGTACTAGTGTTTTTTATTCTCTACAAATATTTTATAATTTCCTAGATGATGTCTTACAAAATTGTTTTCATTTTATAAGTGAAATGTTCTATTGCTTGTTTTAAGGTGAACAAATTTACTCAAACTCAGCGATGTTCTAATGTATCAAAAAGAAATAATGGTAATGAAAGAAGGGAATAGTGTACAAATATATATTACTACCATCAGATAGTTTTCACGGTTTAGGTAAAAACTCAAATTTGCATTTTTACAATCAGACACTGAATTTAAAGAGGTCTACGTTGTTTTTGTTGTTCTTTTGTGGGGTTTTTTTGTTTACTTGAAATTCTATTTTTGTAGTACATACTTGCTCTCCCAAGGATAAAGACACACACATGTGAACATGTATGTTGGCAATGGATGTTGGTGTGTAGTGACAGGGCTCCTTATACAAAAATAAAGTTATTTTCCTAAAATTGTAATCACATTATGAAAAAAATGCTAGTGCTACAATCATCAAATATCTTTCCAAAGGATTACTCATTTTATTCTAGTTAATTTCTATATTTTCCCCTCAAATGCATTTATTTTTTAACAAATGGAGCCATAGGTTTTGCATTAATTGGCAGGCACCCTTTTCACACAGATGTTGTTTCTCTTTCCTCTTTCTCATAGAAATAAACATATCTGTGGAGGATCATTGATAAAGGAAAGTTGGATTCTTACTGCAAGACAATGTTTCCCTTCTCGGTAAGTGTTTCTGAAACCAATATTTGTTTTGAGCACTTAAAAATATGTAGGGCCTCCATTTAGCTTTTAGGCTTAGAATGTGTATTCATTTAACAGATTCACCAACAAGGGATGAACAAATTAATTTCTTTCTTCAGATTTAGCTCACAAAGCTTAATTTGACTTAATTGATATGTATGACTGGATACTGCTTCTGTTCACTTCTTTCCACAATTGGCATTACTCTCATTTGAGGGGAAATTTTGCTAGAATTATGTAAATAATTCTTCCTCAACCTCTTCCTTGCATGCTAAATGTCTAGATAGAAATTCTTTTCTGAATTATCAACAAATTTATCTCAAATCTCACTCCTCCTTTCTTATGTAAATCCAGCCTCAAAATCATCCTGGGAATAATTTTTAATGAGAATTAGCCTAAGGAAAGTTAAGGAGGCAGCATTTGTAAGCTTACTTCCTGATTCTCATCAGGGTCATTGATTTTGTTAATATAAATTTTCAATCCTCATTGATAAACCAAACATATACAAAACTAAGAAGGAAAATCTGAACAAAATTATAATTCATGTAATGTGCTTTACCTGAGAATTTTTGACATGTGATTTACTCTTAAGCGTAATCAAAAGGTTTTTTTTTTTCTTAAATAGCTCTTAAAAGCTCTTTTTGCTTATGTGTGCTTGTAGCTTTCAGAATCTCTGATAACAAATGTGTTTCTCTTTATTATACTTTGATTCAAATTTTAAATTTAGGTTATTTATCTGCCCTTATAAACTAAAATAATATGTTTGAACAATATCACCCAATTTAAAATTATATTTTACATTTCAATTTTTTACTTAGAAACAAAGACTTGAAAGATTATGAAGCTTGGCTTGGGATTCATGATGTCCACGGAAGAGGTGACGAGAAACGCAAACAGGTTCTAAATGTTTCCCAGCTGGTATATGGGCCTGAAGGATCCGATCTGGTATTACTGAAGCTTGCTAGGTTAGTTGCTTGAGAATGTTTTGCCTTTTTAACCTACAATGGAATTAGTGAAGCTTTTTCTTCAGCTATATGGCTATTCTCTCTCTTTTAGGTTAATTTATTATAAAAGCATATGTCACATGTTGGGGCGCCTGGGTGCCTCAGTCAGTTAAGTGTCTGCCTTCAGCTCAGGTCATGATCCCAGGGTCCTGGGATCGAGCCCCACATCAGGCTCCCTGCTCAGCGAGAAGCCTGCTTCTCCCTCTCCTACTCCCCCTGCTTGTGTTCCCTCTCTCACTGTGTCTCTCTCTGTCAAATAAATAAATAAAATCTTTAAAAAAAAAATCATGTCACATGTCATATATGTGTGTGTGTGTACATAGAGACAAAGAGAGTCATCTTCAAAATTTTCAAAAATTAATAAATGAAGTTTGACCAACAGCCTGATCAGCCTGCTCTAAAACCAAAACTTAGTGAATGATCATTTGATAACTTTAATCGGTAAAATAACGAATTAAAAAAAAAGCGGTGATGGGCGCCTGGGTGGCTCAGTTGGTTAAGCGACTGCCTTCGGCTCAGGTCATGATCCTGGAGTCCCTGGATCGAGTCCCGCATCGGGCTCCCTGCTCGGCAGGGAGTCTGCTTCTCCCTCTCCCACTCCCCGTTTGTGTTCCCTCTCTCGCTGTGTCTTTCTCTGTCAAATAAATAAATAAAATCTTTAAAAAAAAAAAAAAAGCGGTGACCATTTAGCAGGTAATATTAGCAAGTAAGTGACTCCTTTCTCTCTACCTACTCCTACCTCTACTACATACATTATATGTATGAATGTCTAATAAGACATTCCCTTTTTCTTAAGAAACAAGACTGTTTATTCTCTCTTAATCTCATATTAAAAATTAACACTAAATTTTAATTTGTTAATTTTGTGTTGAATTCAGTCAAGGGTATTTACCGTTGTATTTTCTATTTTCAGGCCTGCTGTCCTGGATGATTTTGTTAGTACAATTGATTTACCTAATTATGGATGCACCATTCCTGAAAAAACTACTTGCAGTGTTTATGGCTGGGGTTATACTGGATGTAAGCTATTTTTAAAATGATAAGGCAATATCATACTTATTTTATTTAAAACAATTCTATTTGTCTCTTATTTTTCTCAGCTTATCCTGTGCTCATTAACTGTACATTTTTTACCCCATTCTAGCCATCACCTCTGATGGTCTATTACGAGTAGCACATCTCTATATTATGGGAAACGAGAAATGCGGCCAATACCATCAAGGGAAGGTGACTCTGAATGAGTCTGAAATATGTGCTGGAGCTGAAAATATTGTATCAGGACCATGTGAGGTAAAAAGAACATTTTTTAAAAATAAGTATATAATAAATATCATAGTTTCTTATGTTTCTTTTTTGTTTCTTTTTGGTCCATTTTTCTCAAATAAAAATCATTGTCTACCAACTTGTTCTGACAGAGAGAAATTGGGAAAGATAACCCCCTTCATTATCCTTGTACACTTATTTTAACTATACAGTAAGAAAATCCATGTTTCATTGTCAGCAAACTATGATGATATTTGTCTCAAAAAAGCAATAAATGAATACAGCCAGAACTCTAATGGAAAGCTGTTCAAATTAAAAGTAGCCAGTATGCAGTTTGATACAATAGCTTACATTTTTCTGTTTTCTAAAGTTATCTGATCTTCCCAAATTCTCCCTAAATGAACTCTATGTCTGGTTTTAAACTTTTAAATGTGTTTTTGGTTAAGCCAGTGTGTGTGTTGTGTGTGTGTGTGTGTGGTTTAAACAAATTCTATTTTCAAAAACCAAAAGGTCGAAGTTGGTGACTTTAAGAGCTTGAACATTTTCATTTGTTAGGCAACTGTTCTTTCAACTTGGCAGTATTCCAATCCCTATTTTACATAGACAAGCTGTTAAACCATTATTTTATATGTATTTTTTTATATTTTAAATTTTATCTATTTATTTGTATGCGTATTTTGTGCTTTTAAAATTATTTCTGAAGTTGAGAACATTTTTATTAAAAATTTTAATCCCAGTGTGGTTAACATAAAGTGTTATATCAGTTTATGCTATACAATACAGTGATTCAAAAATTCTATACATTACTCAATGCTCATCATGTACTCTTAATCCCCTTCACTTATTTCGCCCATCCTCCCACCCACCTTCCCTCTGGTAACCATCAGTATGTTCTCTATTGTTAAGATTCTATTTTTTTGGTTTGTCTTTTTTTTCATTGTTTTGTTTCCCAAATTCCACATATGAGTGAAATCATATGGTATTTGTCTTTCTCTGACTGACTTATTTCACTAGCATTATACTCTCTAGATTCATCCATGTTGCTGCAAATGGCAAGATTTCATTCTTTTTATAGCTGAGTAATATTCCTGTGTGTGTGTGTGTGTGTGTGTGTGTGTGTCTATATATCAGATCTTTATCCTTTCATCTATTGATGGACACTTGAGCTGCTTCCATAATTTAGCTATTTTAAGTAATGCTGTAGTAAACATAGGGGACATATCTTTTCGAATTAGTGTTTTCATATTTCTTGGTTGAATACCCAGTAGTGGAATTACTGGATTATACAGTAGCTCTATTTTTAATTTTTTGAGGAAACTCCATACTGTCTTCTGCAGTAGTTGTACCAGTTTGCATTCTCATCAATAGCGCAAGAGGGTTCCTTGTTTTTCCACACCCTGGTCAATACTTGCTGTTTCTAGTGTTTTTAATTTTAGTCATTCTAACAGGTATGAGATGATATCTCATTGTGCTTTTGATTTGCATTTCCCTGATGATGAGTGATGTTGAGAATCTTTTCATGTGTCTGTTGGCCATCTGTGTATTTTTGAAGAAATATTTGTTCATATCTTTTGACCATTTTTCAATTGGAAAATTATTCATTTTTTGGGTGTTGACTTATATAAGCTTTATATATTTCGGATGTTAACCCTTCATCAGATATGTCATTTGCAAATATCTTCCCCCATTCATTAGATAGCCTTTTAGTTGACTGTTTCCTTCACTGTTGACTGTTTCCTTCACTGTGCAGAAACTTTTTATTTTGATGTTTGATGTAGTCCCAGTAGTTTATTTTTGCTTTTGTTTCCCTTACCTCAAGAGACATATCTGGAAAAATTATTGCTATGGCTTATTTCAGAGAAATTACTGTCTGTGCTCTCTTCTATGATTTTTATGGTTTCAAGTCTCACATTTATGTCCTTAATCCATTTTGAATTTATTTTTGTGTATGATGTAAGAAAGTGGTCCAGTTTCATTCTTTTGCGTGTAGTTATCCAGTTTTCCCAACACCATTTGTTGAAGAGACTGTCGTTTTCCCATTGCATCTTCTTTCCTCCTTTTAATTGACTATATAATTGTGGGCTTATTTCTGGATTTTCTATTCTGTTCCATTGATCTATGTGTCTATTTTTTGCCAGTACCATACAGTTTTGATTATGACAGCTTTCTAGTATATCTTAAAATCTAGGTTTGTGATACCTCCAGTTTTGTTCTTCTCTTTCAATTGCTTTGGCTATTCAGGGTGTTTTGTGGTTCCATACAAATTTTAGGGTTGTTTTTTCTAGTTCTGTGAAAAAATGCTGTTGATATTTTGATAGAGATTGCATTAAATCTATAGATTGCTCTGTGTAGCATGGACATTTTAACAATATTTGTTCTCTCAGTCTGTAAACATGGACTATCTTTCCATTTCTCTGGGTCATCTTCAATTTCTTTCATCATTGTTTTATAGTTTTCAGAACACAGGTCTTTCACTACATTGGTTAAGTTTATTCCTTTTACTATATTTGGTGCAATTGTAAATGGGATTGTTTTCTTAATTTCTCTTTCTACTACTTCATAATTTGTATATGGAAATGCAATAGATTTCCATACATTGATTTTGTATCCTGTGACCTCACTGAATTCATTTTTCAGTTCTAGTAGTTTTTTGGTGGACTCTCTAGGGTTTTCTATTTAGAGTATCATGTCATCTGCAAATAGTGTAAGTTTGACTTCTTCCTCAGATGCCTTTGTTTTCTTTTTGGTGTCTGATTGCTGTAGCTAGGATTTCCAGTACTATTTTAAATAACACTGGTGAGAGTGGACATCCCTGTCTCGTTCCTGACAATATAGGAAAAGCTCTCAGTTTTTCCCCATTGAGGATGACATTAGCTATGGATTTTTCATAGATGGCCTATATGATGTTGAGGTAGGTTCCCTCCAGACCCACTTTGTTGAGGGTTTTTATCATGAATAGATGTTGTACTTTGTCAAATGTTTTCTCTGTATCTATTGAAATAATCATATGGTTTTTATCCATTCTCTTGTTCATATGATGTATCATGTTGATTGATTTGCAAATATCGAAACACCCTTATATCCTAGGAGTAAATCTCAGTTGGTCATGGTGAATTATTTTTAAATGTATTGTTGGATTTGGTTTGCTAATATTTTGCTGAGGATTTCTGCATCTATGTTCATCAGAGATATTGGCCTATATTTCTCTTTTTCTGTAGTGTCTTTATCTGATTTTGATATCAAGGTAATGCTGACTTCATAGAATGAATTTGAAAGCTTTTCTTCCTCTTCTATTTGTTGGAATTGTTTGAAAATCAGTATTAATTCTTTTTTAAATCTTTGGTAGGATTCACCTGTGAAGTCTTCTGCTCCTGGACTTTTATTTGTTGGATTTTTTTTTTTTTTTTACTACTGATTTAATTTCATTGGTGGTAATTGGTCTGTTTTCAAATTTTCTATTTCTTCCTGATTCAGTTTTGGGAAGTTATATATTTCTAGGAATTTATCCATTTTTTCTAGGTTGTCTAATTTGTTGGCATATAATTTTTCATAATATTCTCTTATAATTGTTTGTATTTCTGTAGTGTCAGATGTTCTTTCTCCTCTTCATTTCTGATTTTATTTGATTCCTCTTTCTATCTTTTTCTGTCTCTCTGTCTCTCTCTCTCTCTCTCTGTATGATGAGTCTGGCTAAAGGTTTATTAATTGTGTTCATCTTTTCGAAGAGCCAGCTTCTAGTTTCATTGATCTGTTCTATTGTTTTGTGTGTGTGTGTGTTTAGTTTCTTTTGTTTATTTCTGTTCTAATCTTTATTATTCCATGGGTTGGGTTTTGTTTATTCTTTTTATAGCTCCTTTAGGTGTAAGGTTAGGTTGTTTATTTGAGATTTTTCTTTTTGTGAGGTATTTATATGGCTATAGATTTCCCTTTTAGAACAGCTTTTGTTGCATCCCAAAGATTTTAGACCATTGGGTTTTCATATTCAGTCTCCATGTATTTTTTTATTTTCTCTTTTATTTCTTGGTTGACCCATTCATTGTTTAGTAGCATGTTATTTAACCTAAATATATCTGTGGTCTTTCCAGATTTTTTCTTGTTGTTGATTTCCAGTTTCATAGTGTTGCAGTTGGAAAACATGCAACATGCATACAACTTTGATCTTTTTGAATTTATTGAGACTTGTCTTGTGGCCTTAAATGTGATCTATTCTGGAGAATGTCACATGTGTAATTGAAAAGAATGTGTATTCTGCTGTTTTAGGATGGAATGTTCTGAATATATCTGTAAAATCCATCTGGTCCATTGTATCTTTCAAAGTCACTGTTTCTTTTTTGATTTTCTGTTTGGATGATTTATCCATTGATGTAAGTGGGGTCTTAAAGTTTTCCTACTATTATTGCATTATTATCAATTACTTCCTTTGTGTTTGTTATTAGCTGCTTTATGTATTAGGGTGCTCTCATGTTGGGTACATAAATATTTACAATTGTTATATCTTCTTGCTGGATTATTCCCTGTATGATTATATAGTGTCCTTCTTCATCTCTTGTTACAGTCTTTGTTTTAAAGTCTATTTTGTATAAGTATCGCTACCCCTGGCTTTCTTTTCACCTCCATTTGCATGATAAATGTTTTTCCATCCCTTTACTTCCAATCTGCATATGTCTTTAGGTCTGAAATGATTCTCTTCTAAGCAGCATATACATGGGTCATGCTTTTTTATCCATTCTGTCACCTTATGTCTTTTGATTGGAGTGTTTAGATGTATTTTGAATATAAGAGACACAGTCTCCAAGCCTAGGAGCTTTGGAGTTGGGGAATACTATGTGAGGTAAGGCATGGAATGAGTTCAATAAATAGTGAAATATCTTTTGACATGTAGGAAAATAAATATGGGGCGTAAATATGTATTTCCATGCATGTGCTATATATATTGGTCTGAGATACTATTCCTGAAAAAAATGTTTCATAAGTAAAAGAGTTTAAACAACTGCTTTAAAATGATATAGTTAGAAACAGGTTATGCGTTTATAACCACTTTCAAATTTGATGTTTTCCTAGTAAATAGTATTACTTTGTTCATTATTAGAGCTGAAAATCTGCTAGGAGAAAGAGAAATTTATTTATTTATTTACTATTTATTTATTTCTTACTTAGCTACCTACTTACACTAAGAGTCCTTTAAAACACAAAGTTTTGAGCTCAACCCAATCTTCAAGATCATTTAAGAATCTATGCACTTATCCAGCCCTACTGTCATTACTAAAAATGCTTCAACCACCGCTCATCAGGAATTGCCTGTGATCTGATTTATCATTTATACATTGTTAGATTCCTAACTTTAGCATTGAATTATTTATTACATTATCATATATTTGTTATTTTTATCCATATTGAAGGACAATTTTAAGTTCATTCTGCCATTTCTCAAAAATGCATTTATCCTCCAGAATTTTTTTTAATATCACTTATATTTAAAACAAGGTAATATAATCCCTGAAGCCACTGAAATCTAAACATTTGAAGAAAACCTCCCAAATGATTGTATAATAGCAATAGGATCACATTTGGTGAAAGTCTGCCAAAGTGAATTGCTTTGATGAGGAGTTTGTATCAGTAATCACTGGTGCAGTTTTAAAAAATCAGATTTATTAACTCATGTGGCATAGTTTATATGTCTCTTAGAATAACCTATTTTCCCTACTGTTTTATCTCCTGCTTCACCCCCATCTTGATATTCCCCATCATACAATGCTGATAGTGCTCTTCTTTACACCTGTAACAGAACTAAATTCCTTAATAGTTTCATTTTATCTCATCATATCACTATTAAGAGAAAATTAAGGTAGTCTCAAACACTCTTCTTCACACAAGGATGCCAAAAGCCAGTCATTGCAACCTTAGAAGGCTACATAGTGCATGAAAATGATGCAGCATATTTGTAATAATTATATATAATAATATGCATTAATATATACATGTTTATAAAAATATACACACATATCAATCTATCAATCTATTCATCTATCATCTATCTGTGTCTTATGACAAAACAGGGTAACCATATAAAAAATGCCATGAAATTAGAGGCTACCTTCTACAAAGGGGGGTATGAGATATAAAAAATATATAAATATAACTATATTAACTACAAATACAACAGTAAATGCAGGAATATTCTTTTTTTATGCCCCAGAACATAATTTCCAAACAGTAAATAGAATTATTTTATCAATTATGATGTGTATTTAATTTTCTAAAATCTTTCTGGGGACAAGATTGAAGGAAGGAAAGTAAAAAGCTTTAGAAATAAGGGAAATTTTAAGCATTTTAATCATTAAAACTCTATGATTATAGGTAAAGCACAAAAGTTCTTGTATTTTTTACATTTTCTAAATTTTCTATATTGAACATATTTTGAACATCAGAAGAAAATAAAAGTAAATATAAAGTCTACCTTCTAAATAGCTATCAGTTGTTTTGTGTTAATTAATCTGTATTCAACAAAGACGAAAACCATTTTAAAAGATGAGTGAATATGTTGTATAAGACAAGTCATTCTTTTTTAATATATTTTAAATATTTAATTAATTAATTAATTAATTTGAGAGAGAGAGTGTGCAAGCAGGGGGATGAGCAGAGGGAGAGGGACAAGCCTACTCCATGATGAGTGTGGAGCCTGACGTGGGGCTTGATCCCATGACCCTGAGATCACAACCTGAGCTGAAATCAAGAGCCGCCCAGGTGCCCCTAGACACTTCATTCTTAAATGAATACTCCACATGATAGAACACTTTTAACTTTTGTACTTCTCTCAGTGTGACTTGGGTAATTCAATAGAAAGATGACCACTGGCCTAGTACATCTATTTATGTCTTCATATCTCAGTTGCAGCTATTGTCTTTTCTTGTATATGTGCATATTTGAGATATAAATCTGTATAGGAAATATTAATGAATTATTAACTTTGTTTCTAAAATAATACTTTTTTTGTTGTTGTTACTGTTGCATGTCTTCTTCCTAGGGAGATTATGGTGGCCCACTTGTTTGTGAACAACATAAAATGAGAATGGTTCTTGGTGTCATTGTTCCTGGTCGTGGATGTGCCATTCCAAATCGTCCTGGCATTTTTGTCCGAGTAGCATATTATGCAAAATGGATACACAAAATTATATTAACGTATAAGATACCACAGTCATAGCTGATGTAACTGTGTCTGAATCTTCCATCAATAGAATTCTCTTTTACCTGAAGATTTCAGAGAACATGGAATTAAAATGTCACTTAAAGCAATCCTAAGACAACTACTTGAGTGTCATGTTTGTTAAGATACTCATTAATATTTATGGGTGTTTTTTGTTGTTTTGTTTGTCAGTGTTATTTTGTAAATGTTGAAGTGAATTAAGGTACATGCAAGTGTAGTAACATATCTCCTGAAGATACTTGAATGGATTAAAAACTGCAAAGGTATAATTGCTGGATGATAAAAGATTTAATGGAAAAGTTCAATTAATCTCTACGCTGCTTTCCAAAGTTAGTTTATGAATAAACCATAAGTTAAACATTATTTTAACCTCACAAAGACAATTTATGCCTTTGTCCTTAAGTTGTAACTCTGTATTAAATTATATTACCTTTCATATACCATACATTATATTTCATTCATTCCTCCTCACTGTGTATCCTCTAATACTGGTCTACATCCTTTCTACAAAATTATGTGCCCATCTATGCAGACCTTGGTACACATGTGCATGCACTAGAGTTCAAATCATGGTATATCTAATGTAACCTCTAAATATTCTGGAAGTGTGTACCTGTAGTTTTTCCTTAAGAGAAAAATAGAAATTTTTAAAGACCAGTAGAAATTTTTAAGGAAAGGTGCAAGATAGAAGTGACCAGCTCATTCTCTATATGTAATCTGCAGATGACCTCTACTGGTTGACATTTAAGGTGTGGTCATGACCCTCAAAGTTAAGTAACACCAAATCTAGGTGTTTAAATATATTTATCATCCTAGTCATCTTGTAGTTTCTAATTCTTAAAGGGAAGAGGGTAATATGTGTATTAGTATTATTTCTTTCCTTCAAATTTAGGGACCTTATTTATGTAAGATATTTTTAGATCTACTTTCCTGAAGTATTTTCTTTATTATTCTTACGTAATTGTCCAATTGAAGCTTAAAAAATTATTTAAGTAGGTTAATTCTAAGACTTGCTGCTGTGATTGGCTTGAGGTCATCGTCTTTAAATTTTTAAAAATTATTTCAGAGGAAAATTTCCATATGTCCCCAAAGATTTGTAAATGGACTTTCATCAAACTATGAATTAAAGTATATGTTGAAGAAAAAAAAATCAGGATACCTTTCTCAACCTGAAAGTTTTTTCGCCTAATGAGACTTTACTCAAGTAAAGGAAAAAAAAAAAAAAAAGGAAATGAAAGGAACTAGCTTGTCTAAACTCTGAATTCAATTATGTTTTAAAGGGGAGTTATATCTGCAGAATGAAATATTTTGTGAAAATATCTTCATTTTATCTTATTTCATTTTACATAAATCTTTCAAATGCCATGGGGGAATATCTATTCAAATTTTGTATTCTGTCTCATAATACCAAATTATCATATTTATTATTGTATTTGGCATGATTATTGTATTTGAGTGATTCCAAACCAGTATCCCCATTTCTCTAATTTGTTTCTCTTGACTGACATCAATTAAGGCCAGAGATCCAAACAATGCTCTCAAAGCTTCATAGGACACAGTTCAATCTTGAGTAAAATGCTCTTAAATTTACTTGAAAGCTTAGTCCACAGAGTACAGGACAGCAAATCCAGAAATACCTATGCAAACCCAGAAATATCTATCCAAATTGTGCCATACAAATTGAACATATTGTAATAAGATATGTTCTGGTATCAAGAAACAGTGAAAGCAAAGAGAGATCCGAAAAGTTGTCAGTCCACATCATCTTCTTTGTATTTTTCTTTCCTTATGGGATATATCATTTTAATCAAAACACTAGGAATTTCAAAGGTATATTGTCCCAAAATTAAATAATTTTTCAGTTTTTTCTTGATGAACTGGCAAAATTTGATCAAATCCTATATTGATGTTTGTAAAATATTTATGAAATTCTAATATGTCTAAATACTCACACTTTAAGATTTCCTTTCTTGTCTTTTCCTCTAAATTTCCATGGAAAGAGAGATAGGGATTACCTAGACACAAGATGCAGCTAGCTTTTTAGATATTTTGAACTCAGTGTTTTCCATTTTATTAAAGTGTGAAAACATACCACCAATAAAACATCAGACATGGTGCACAAAGCAGTCCTAGCTTTGAGAAGTTCCCTTTGTAATAAGGGGAGATCAGTAGAATTGACGATAAAAGCAAGATGAACAAGATCCATGTGATTTTAGGTGGTAGGACAATGAATAATCATGTCATTTTTCTCTGGCGAAAGATACTATTTCCTGGGCATTCTTTTCTTATTCAATCAAAAAATGAAAAATCCAACTTAGCCAAAATCGATTGTATTTTGAGTAATGGACAAAAAGGTCTTTTAAATTAGAAGTTTTCAATGTTATTTTTGTTTGGGCTGTTTGAATAATGGTTATGTGCTGTTGTAATTGTGGACATTTTCTTATGTCTGCCAGGAATAGTAATGTAAAATTAAAATATTTGTCATAATGCCTCTGCCGTGCAGAAGGGATGATAGTCCTTTTGTATACTTCTTTAATTTTATTGTAAAATATGTAATGAGTTTTACCTATTTGCTGTGGGCAGGTCCTCAGTAAAATGGTTTATATTGAGTCAATCTCTAGTATTAACAGGCTCTTGCTTGCTATCTAAGTGTTTCAAACTATGGGAAACATGAGACACTGGAAGGCAAGAAAAATAACAATAATGGCATGTGATAGCAAAATTGTATTTCACTTATTCCTGTGAATATTTCTTGTTGGTACCAATGGTACTGTACAAAGTGAATGTTATAGCCACAACATTCTCTTGGAAAAAAAAAAAAAAAGCACTGTCAAGAAGTGAGAAATTGTTGTCAGACATTTTGTTGTTTCTAAATATTTTCTTTCTTTTTTAAAAGAAATACTGGTATTGCAATATAGAAATCATGAGGTAAAGAGTTTTAATAAACTCTCATACTAAAAAAAACTTTAAATTGATTTACTAAGTTTCCAAAGATAACTTTTAATTATATCCTGTATTTATAGACAAACTCATTTGAATGATAAAGTTAACTTGAATAAAAAGACATAGTCTTTGTGGAAATACTTTTCACAATAAAGTTCAAAAAGAAGTTCTCTTTCAACGTTCAATTGAGTTTCGTACTAAGAATTTACTAATACAAAAAAAAGTTAAAATTTTCTGGTCACAAAAATCTTGACAGTGTAATTTTAAGTAGGTTCATTTCCATTTGCACAGAAAGTTTCTGTCTTTAGGAAACTGAAAATGGAATACTATGGATGTTATGACTGTTTGTCTTGGTGTAAATAGGAAATTGATAAGCTGCCTGTTTAGTGGTATAGCTGGATGCTTACCCAAAAAGGGAACACTGTGGTTATGACTTGTATATAAAGTTTCTGTAGGTAATAAAGTTGCTATTTTTATAACCATGATTATATTATTATTATTAATAATAATAAAATATTTTATCAAAATGCTTCCTTTCTCTTATTATAATTATCTATACAGACATGTTTGAATCTGCTCTAGGGCTTAATGCAGAAAACAACAATGATCTCACTGACAGAAATTACGTATACTTTGTTGCAAGAAATACTAGAACTAAGACAAATAATCATTCTTTTTTTCCAACATCTATCCATGGCATTATCAGTGGTCTTCACTAAACCATTAATCTCTACACACTTTGATTTCTCCCACCATAATATACAATTATTTAGTCATTTTCATATTTGCTAGAATGGTACTGTGATATAACTTGCTAATATAAATAATATAAAACATTGTCATGAAGGATCATCTAAATTCCTTTACTATATCACTATATATCACAAAAGTAATTGTAAATGATCCAATTAATCAATTAATCACTCAATATACCTTTTAAAATATGCATTAAATTCAGAATAAATATGAGTCCAACAGACTCACCTAATTCAAATGGAAAGCAAGTTTGGAAGAAAAAATTATCAATTAATCTAACCAAACAGAGCTCTGTAACACTATTGATTATTTCAAGTTATATTGTCTCTTGCCAAAAGTTAATTTTTGGCATAGATACCTATCTCAAGTGATGACTAATATATCTAACTCTAGAGCCCCTGATAGTATCTGATCTTCCTAACGATTATTATCTAAGCAGAATATATGCATTTATTCAGTTCTGGTAGCAGTATTTCTGGTAGTAGTATCAAAGAATATTTCCAATACATATATTGCTGGTTTTTCTAAATTTTTATTTTTTTTCTCCTTTTTAAGAACTCCATTCCATTCTAAACCTATATTCAGCTATTTTAAGTAGAATACTCCAAGACAGCTTCTCTAAGAGGTGGTATTTGAACAGGCGTGAAAGAGCAAGCTAGGTAAATATCTGGGGTCTAATAAATAAAACTTGGACAATATTTTTGTCCATTATGCCATTTGTCAATGTCCTGAATAGAATCATCTTAGTTTGCCTTTCCTCAATGTTTTAGTCCAGAAGGTTCATTGCTATTCTATTTCATTATTTTCCGACACAGGCCCCATCCTTAATCTATACAACCCTAAAAGTGCTTTCTATGTCATTTTACCAAATTGCAACCCTTTCATGTAAAATCCAGATTAAAAGTCTTATTCTACACAGTCTGTATCTAGCTGTTTATCTATCTATCTGGTTCCTTATATTTATAAATATCTCAGTTGCATGTGTTGCTTAGGAGAGCGAAATTTAAAAGATTGTTTGTAGTAATTTGGTTAAAGTTTACAGTCCTATGAAGAATATGTTATTGCCTGAAGCACATCTAAGCAAGACAGAAAATAATGGGCAAAGGAAATAATTCAAAAGAAGTGTGTGAGTATAGATTATACATATTATTTTATGCTTTTTAAAAAGGTAGAGAACAACATCAAAATAAAACAAAACCTATCAATCTGACATATTAGCTAATTCCAAACTGACTTTGGGCCCTTATTTCTCTCGATGAACACCTATCACTTTATTTTCATTATTTTATTTCACATTGTAAATGTCTTCACTTTTAAACGTCATGCCATGGGATACCTGGGTGGCTCAGTCAGTTAAGCCTCTGCCTTTGGCTCAAGTCATGATCCCAGGATCCTGGGATCGGGTCTCCCAGTGAGCTCCTTGCTCAGCGGGGAGCCTTCCTCTCCCTCTACCTACTCCTCCCCCTGCTTGTGCCCGCCCCCCCAATAAATAAATAAAATCTTTAAAAAAGAATAAACTTCATGCCTGTGTTCAAACAGTCCCTGTGAATATCAGGCTTCTCTTTAATACCCCCAACCTTCAAATGTCACATAATTTCCCTTGTGAATCCATCGTCAACATCTTTTATCTAGAAGTCATTACTTCTTTAGCTCTAGGCTGGGTTTGCTGATGGTTCCTTCCACTTGTTATCAGAGTCTGCCTATGACTGCATGAGATTTATTTTGTTTTGTTTTATTCTGCTTTGTTTTTAATGTGCAAACTGCCTCCACTCAGTTTGAGCTGCTCAGAGACATCAGCACTGTCTTGCTATTAATATTTGTATATTCTTTACTTTGCACAGTGCTTCACCTGTAATGATACCCTATAAATATTTCATAATTATTAATATTCTATAATCTACCCTCTTTTTGAAGGTTTACCAGTATTACACAGAGAAATGCAATTTTTGTTAAAATTAGGCAACTCTCAGCAAGGTTTAAGAATTTTAGGGTTTAATATTTAATTACATTATTTAGATTTGAATTAGTAAGTGGGACTATTTTTCAATGGTCTATTGTATTTCATACATTGGGGCATGCAGCTGGAAAAGAGAGGAGTTATTCACTCTGAAGAGTTTATGCCTTCATATTTGTAAATGCGGTTATTAAAAATAAAAATGGAGAACTAGATTGTAGCTTGCTAATGGATTCAGATGTTTACTTCATACAGCCTGATACAGTTTTGATTATGTCTGTGAATGTTTTCCCATCTGAGTTTTTCCACAAAGCACAGATGTCATAACACTGAGGGGGAAAGGATCGTTATCAATTACTACAAAATTATTCTGAGACAACAATGGTCTACTCATTACATATATGCAAATATGCCATCTGATGTGCATCGAGAAGTTTCACAATATTGTTACTCAATTAGCAAAAGGTTTTTATCTGATGAATTTTCTTAACTGAGAGAAATCAACTTGGGGAACATGGTGCAATGAAATGAAGTGGGGAAAAGGCAGATGAATTTTCATATTTTTTTCATATGTTTTTGAAGCTTTACAAAGATATTGTCCAGTTTTCAGGACTCTGATTTTTTTAAGTGGCTAAAATTCAAATGCAGTGATAATTTAGAATACAGGACTATACCCTAAGACAAAGACTTTATAGCTTATAAAAGAAAAATAATGAAAATTTGACACTATGGAATGATAAAAGTGATCAAGGATCTTTAGAGGAGAAAGGAAAAGCTGCACTTTGATTGTTTAAAGAGTTATTCTGAGAGGAAATGCTCAGGTCCTTCAGGTTAAGAGAGTAAGAATTTGAGGAAAATAAGATTGATGTTTCAGTCAGATAGTTTAGGTACAAAGCAGAACCTTCTCGTTCATGAACTCATGGAAGCTCTTACTATGTATATTTCTTAAAATGGAAATATTTCTTCAATGACTTAGGTAAGCTTTACCCAAACTGGTCTCTCATGGAACACTGTTCTGCAGGACACTTTAAAGCTGTAATGAAAACAAAATGGGACTTGAATAAACTTTTAGAGATGCTGGGATACTTTATACAGGTCACTTTGTTGCAGAGTTTTCAAGGACCTTTGGATGATCGTGTGTATTTTGAAGCTCCATGAGAGAGCATGGTATGGCATATTCTTTAAATCTGCTATACTACAGAACCCCCTTAAAATTATGTAGACAATAGTTACATGTTTAGTACAACAGATCTGCTAAATACTGTCTAGGAAAACTTGATTTACTTATTTATTTTCTGAATTGGAGTCAGTGGTAACTATAAGATTTCTATTGTCTTTTATAATCTACAATGATTTTTCTTTTCTAAAAAAAAAAAAAAAATCTACCAGCAATCTTGCCGTTGGCAAATTTTTGCTTTTTTATACTCAGTTTGAGTAAAATTCAGACACTTAGGAAGAGTTGAGGCATATTTTTCCTGACATGTGTATTCCATCTATTTGACCTCTCATATAATATTATTAACATAAGGGGCGCCTGGGTGGCTCAGATGGTTAAGCATCTGCCTTCGGCTCAGATCATGATCCCAGGGTCCTGGCACTGAGCCCCGCGTTGGGCTCTCTGCTCAGCAGGGAGTCTGCTTCTCCCTCTCCCTCTACTGCTCCCCCTGCGTGTACTCTCTTGCTCTCTCTGTCGGATAAAATCTAAAAAAAAAAAAAAAGACTTAAAAGATATTATTAACATGAAAACAAAGTTGATGACACAAAAATATGAAGGTGATACTATTTTACCCACGCAAAACTAAAAAAAAAAAAAAAAAGACAAAAAGTGCAATATTTTCCCATGTTACTAGCCCCCATAATGTCCCCTTGTAAGCTGAAATTTCCAGTTGGAAATGGGAGAGCTAAGGAGAAAAAGATGAGTAAAAGTTACAAGAGAGAAGATAATGAAAAGAGGAAAAGGAAGGGAAAAAGAAAACCTGGAGGGGAGCTGGGGGAAATTTTCTGGGTGTCTTTACATGTACCCAGAAGTAAAGTCAACAGAAAGATCTAAAGCATTATTCTTTATTAGCCTCTTTCCTTCTTAGTCATAACTATCTGCATTTCCCAGATGCACTCGTAATCACTAAGTGTAATGAGTCATCCTAAAATAAACAAACATAGAGTCTGAGCAT